CCGGCAAATGGTACATCGAACACACTGTCGGTACAAGGGAGAGTCTTGGTACTGCAAGTCCTTCTTTTAGCGTCAAGCTTGGTACTGCAAGTGATCAAACGCAACTTTGCTCAACATCAGCGCAGCTCGGGTGGAGAGGGCACACTCTTGAAGCCTCAGACTGCCCTCTTCGCTCGAGGGCGACATGTCGTCAAAACACTTCCAGTTCGAGGCCTCCAATTGGAGTTTCCAACGACCCATTCGTCCCATTGCACTGCACAAGTCAGGTCAGCTCCTACCTCATCTCAACATCTCTTAACAGCTCCCCCCTTGGTCCTTTGGTGCAAGTGCAACCCGATCAATCCCATGAAGCGCCGGCAGTGACCCCCATGACATCGGACACGGCACGGCTTCTCCTCTTTGAGCTCAGCGCCGTACTGCTGCACATCCTCCCGGCGGCCGAAGCTGCTGGGACCAGCCCTGCTTAGGGGACCCGAACCATGGACACCGCGGACACCTGAAGGGCAGTGATGTCCTGTCGCACCTGCTTTGACCGAGAGAATCTGACGCATGTCCGACCGAAAGACATCCCTGATCGGTTCGTTTCTTTGGATGCCCACAATATCTTGCAACATCTGAGGGCTTGCATATTTAAGCGTCCCTAAAAATCTGGGAACCAAATCATTTGTGCGAGCGCTTCTTCAAGGAAGCTTCCCCCGCTGCCCTTCAAGGAAGCGCGAGCTATCCTGCGTCCAGTAAGTAGGTAGTAACTAGCTTAAGCAAGCTACTAGCTACCTGGCTACTACTATCGCAGCCTACCCCCCCGCGGGCTTAAAAAGAACGCTGAGTCTTCTTGCGTTGGAAGAAGCTTAAAAAGTGCGCGTGCGTTTGAAAAGTGGCCGTTGATGATCAGTCACCTGGAGACGCCAGGACATTATAGGAGCCTTGTCGTCATGCCTTACTCTCAAAGAACAGCTACATTGCCGACATCGAAGACCATGTCGTTCTGCGCCGACCCCCAAGACCTGTTGCCCTGCGTCCCAGCGCCTTCAACTCCTCCTTCTCGGCCGTCTTCGAATCCTCGGAACCGTCCGACCCGGTTCCGCGACCCGCTCGGCGGCCCGCGCGTCCAGGTGCGCTTCGCGCTGCGACGGCCCCTCGGGGCCCCCGGCAGACTTCTTGACCTTCTCGGTCTCTGCAGAGGCCTGGGACGGAGGCCACGGACGGTGGGATGTCCAAGAAATGGAAGTGAGAAGAACAAGGCAAGCCCCAAACACCCCAGCACCAAAGGTCCAACGCAACGATGCTGGGGCTCAGCCAGGACCATGACACACAAGTCCTAGACCCTACTGTGACACAGACATGTGCATTAGCCAAAAGGCCAAACCAATGTGTCCCATCAACTTTCACCGACTCTTGAAGCGCCTCGTTTTGCTCAGCTTGGCCATCGCCCCAATCCCCACGTACCGCCAACCATCCACGCCCACGTTCCAAGGGCTCTCGGCCTTGGCCTTTTGCTTGGATGCAATGGCCTTAACGTCAGCTTCACGCTTGGCTTGGGCCTCAGGGAAGGTCGTTGGTATCAGGTCCAAATCACTCTCCCAACCAAACAGAACTGGCCAAGACGTCTGTTCAGTTCTCCGGCCGACACTGTGGCCCAAAGCAGCAAAGCCGTCAGCATCCGCCCAGCACTGCTGTAGCCACGTTTCGAGCCGAGAACGGGACATCGACCAACATGTCCTCATAGAGGCGCTGGGACTCCTTTTCGTTGGATTCCGCCTGAACACGACCCGACTCGCTTCGACTCGTCCGCTACCAAACTGCCCGGCACCTTCGGACGCGTGTGGGTGGGTCTCATTCGGGCCCTGTCGCTTCGGTCAGTGCGGCCGACGCGCCGACGCACCGCCTCCGCCAGCGTCTTCTCAGTCTCGGTCACCAGGCCTCGTACGAAGAAGTGGAAACCACCCCGGAGAATTTGCTCAAAAAGGAACATACATGATCATACATGAACATACCAAAACTGTGGAGAACCTGGTCTTTGCGCTTTCTTTTTTTCCATCAAACTATCGGTCCACATAGCTGGAAATTTCCAAAGCCAGGAGAGTGATCCGTCATCTAGTCTGTCTTTCGAAGGCTATTTCCGGGACTCTGGGACCCAGATTTCGAGGCATGCCCGGCAGACCTGTTTGGCTCAATTCAAAAAGGTGCTCGGGGGATGACCAAGGTGTCCATAAGGAAACTCTTTGCGCATTCCAGGGGTGGACAGAAATACTCGCTTCTCCGATGAGTTCCTTACAGAGGTCCATCACATTCTGGGAACGCTCTTCAGCATTTCGCGTTCGGCCCTTGCCTTCCAACATGGTCAGAACACGGTTGCCCTGCACCGACCTGGGCGTGCGCCCGATCAAGAAAGCTCATCCTGAGTGATGAGCCTTGAATCACTTTGAAGCGAAAGGTTGCCGTCTGTGTTTCACGTCTTGAAAGCTTGGCCACCCCAAAGACTTGCCATGGAAACGCCTCTCAACGCCTCTCAGCACCGGAAAGTGGTCGCTTTCAGCCCTCCTCGTTCGGCCACCCCGCTTGGCGGAGCCGAAGCTTGGAGGCTCGTTCTCGGAGATGTGGGCCTGGAGCCACCATCCCAGTGAAAAACCAGCGGAAAAAACATCCTTTTCTCCGTTGCAGTGTAGCTGCGTAGCTATGCGTAGCTCGTAAGCTGTTGGGATCTGTGGGGTGTAGCACCCTTTTTTTCCAACGCACAACACAATTAATTGAAGAACTACATCCTCAGAAATCCCGCTGTGACAAATGTTCAAGAACAAATCCAGAGTGAGCTTGGACCATGGGCTCCGAAGTGCAACGTGCGAGTAAAGCTCAGTGTACTTCAGGTTCCAAATAGCTGGACTAGTCCAACAACAACCAGAAGACGCTGCGTGCATGAATTGAGCAGTATTTGCAATGCTGCAACACGTGTTTGTCAACTCAAAAAGAGTCTTTGCGGCTAGAACATCTCTCCTCCGACTTTCAAGTGACATCTCAACTAAAAGCCAGTTGATCTTTCCCTTTCGGTTCACCGTTCTTCCCAACTTAAAGAACTGCACCTCCACTTGCACCAAGGCTGGCGCAGACTCCTGGCGCCGTCGTGGACAAGGACCGGGTTGTTGAGTACAGCACCCGGGGTCTTTGCTAACGTGTCGGTCGATCCACGGGTTCAACATGCTTCAACTTCAACCTCCGCGGATACTGACCTTACTAGCTCAGCCAAAAGTCTTTGGAATTCTAAGCTCCTGCCTGGTTCTGGACGTTGGAGGCGGGCAACCAGGCGACCGTCTAAAGGTTCATTCCAGTCTGACTCTTCAATCAACATGCAATCTAAAACGCTAGAAAGGCTTCAAGTCAAAAGCCCACCGTGAGTAACCTTTGTCGCTTTGATACCACAGTCCAAAGCCTTACAACCGTGCTTTACTACCACGGAAGCAACGGACTCCCAAGCTGCCCTCCTGCAGCAGACCAAGGCCAAGGTCATAGGGCCCAGTGGTGGTTAAGGTGGTAGTCATGTCCTCAGCCGCCACGAGAAATTTGGAATGACAAAGCAAGTTTTGAAGAGCTGAACTTACCTTGTTCTTCTGACAGCTAAACCTCATCAGCGGTGGGTCTCTCTGTGGTTGGTCTCCGAGCCCTCGTACAAGTGCCAAGGCTCGGGATGATAGAACTGGAATAAGCGATCTTTGGCCATCAAGAGCACGTCCTGGCGTGGCCAGGCGGTGGGTGTGCTTTTTTAAAACATCAAACCATGTGAGAAGCCACAACCTTTGAAGGGCAGCACTGCGAGGGTAGGATAGAAATCTTTCAATTGAAGACATTCGAGCGCTCTCGGTCCTTGGTTGCAGCCTGCTCTTGCATGACCTTCTGAAACTCCTCACCGAAAACACCAAGCCGGGCCTATGCTTTTTATCTAGAGCACGGGAAAAGTAGGACCGCACTGTGCATTTTCCTCTTGTTTCTGGGCGTGCGAGACTTGCTCACTGCACTAGAAAATCGTGTGCACTGTTTTTTGGCTGAAAGGAGCTATATACCGAATAGCTGATCCATTCAGGTCACTCCAAGGAAAGAAGCTTGCGGATCTAGCATCCGAGAAGAAGAAAGGAAACACCCCTACAATACAGACACCGATAAACAGGCAGTTGGTCCCTACATTTGGAGAGCGAGTTCTTTGGATCTGGGTCATACCTCACAAACCTGACACTAACATTAGGACCCTTTCAAGTACAGAGTACGAGCGCTGTTCATTGAAAGGATTCGACCAACATAGAGGGCTTCCAAAATCTCATCCAGTCAATCACTCCTCGTGCTCCTTTTTTTCTCATCTCAGTAGATTCAACCACTGATTTGTCCAACCTCAGAAAATCACAAGGGCGACTCTGGCCGAAGACCGCCTAGCGAAAGTGCCATAGCGAACCGTCCAAGAACAACCACTTCTTGTCGAGAAAACTCAGAAAGCTTGTCATGGGCGTCCCCAAACAAACAAGACTTGGATATCTTGGATCGTCCACTTCAGATACACCCTTGAGTCACGAGGTGGCAAGTCCTGAGTAGAGTCATCTTAACCCCTTTCCGTGTTCACCTCCACGCAAATCGGGGAAGGCGTCCCGCTCTGCTCCACCCATCCTTTCACTTAAAGCTCCCTGGAGGATTGATCTTGGGACGCCGTGCTTGGTCACGCCTTTCTGGAGCTCTTCGATCTCACTCGAAGTGCTGGCAATGGCCTGGCGCTTGGGTGCCGAAAACATGCGACTTGAAGACCCCATCCTGAGGTGTAGGGGCTGGAGAGGAACATGATGCTCTAAATGGGCCCAGTTTTTCACATCTAAAAGAGAGGTGGAGGTTTCTCCATTTGAAGCACTTGATGCGGCTCTTCAGCTTGCTTGCCCGTACTCACCCCAAATGTGCGCCTCCTCTTGGATCAGGACCGCCTGCTCCAAGGTCTGGATCTTGTGACGCAACGCCTCAAGGAGGCATAAGTTGATCAATTGTGGACAGCTGCAAAAAAACACAAGTTGAGCAGCAACTCAGGAAGATGTCATGCCAGCATTGGCCAAACAAAATGTATACCTGTCACACAAGGACACCATATTTGATAATTGAATAGCTTCACTTGCTGAGTCATCAATAGGTCCAAGTGTGGATTCTCATGCATGAACCCATGTCCTCCAGTTCCCTACCGCGTCCATATTTCACCATCTAAGATGAAAATCGGAGTGGAATCCACGTTGGAGTTCCTGGTGTGGAACCCACGCGCGCGTCTCTAAGGGCCTTGGTCTTCCGCTTCGTCTCGAAGGTCTGCTTGTTGCAGTAGGCCTTCTTCTCGTCGTCATTCTTCTGCTCCTGTTCAACGGGGCATTCGGGTCGCGCCAGCACTTCCTGGGAACCCGAAGAGCAAAAGGGCAAGGAGAATGAAGTGCAAAGAAAGAAGTCAAGGAAGGTCTTTTGCGCTACCCGGATGACTCGCCACGCCAGGATCTAGCTGTCTGTTTGGCTACCAGTGCTCCCGACCCCAACGCCTGCTCCATGAGCACCGTCATGTTGTCAATCATGCTCATCACCTGCAGGCTGCAGGCCGCGTCCCGGACATCCAGCGCCCAACGAGCCCGCAACGCGTTGTCCCAACAGGACGCATGTGAATGCTAAGACCGGGCATTCTCGTTGCAGCTGAGGAACAGAAGAGAAGTCGACACCCTTGTTCGACAAAGCCAGCATCTTGGCAGAGCGTAGGAGGATGCTTTGCAGCCCCGGTTGCTGTGATGGAAGGCCGCTCAAGGCAAACAGGACCAACTTTTAGTCTTTCTTACGCGATCAATGTGAATGTCCATCTTTCGATCATTAAACTGGCCCCTTCCACTGCACGCACAGGACAGGGGCACCTACGTGCTTGAAGTTGAATTTGGGGCCACAAAAGCTCCTTGCTTCTCTCAGGCTGCCACCACTAGGTCCACATTGGTGCGGTTCCCCACTGCCTACCCAAGAGGTCAATTGGCGGTCACAATTGGCGGTCAATTCTTCGTCTTTTGACTTGATAGCCCACGTTCATTTAGAGGGCATCACATCACAAGAGGTTGCAGTCCAAGGTTGATGTCTGGTCTCGATATAGCCAAGTTCATTGAAAACAAAGCTACCGTGCGTCCTTAGTGATCTGATTTGCATGTTGACAGTTAACATCTGGTGCCCCTTTTTGGGCCATCCGCCTTGGAGCCCAAAGAGGAGGCATAGCCCTTCAGCACACCCAAGGCCTTGTGCCTGGCGATGGTTACAGAGGAGTTCCTGGGACCGGACCCTGTTTGGGGACCCGGTCGTGGGGCCGATGTGTGATGATGTCGGGGGACCGGACCGCCAGGTGCCCTCGACTCATAGCCCTAGGCAAGGCGGGCCAAGCTGTGAGAAATGTTAGTTGTGGATCTCCGGGACTTTATGTTGTGCAAAGAGGAAAAGAGGAACAAAGGATGTGTATCTCTCAGCCAACAAGGCCGGGCACCTCGTTGGATTGCATCATGTGCCAACCGTTTCCAGCAAATGAGTTGAGTCAAGAGTCTGTCAGAGTCTACCAGTTCCCGACCAACACGCCAACCCCAAGAAATGGCCACCTCGATCCTCCCAGTTGCAACAGACTGGGGCTGGGCCTCAGCGAGATTGTACTGTCGGACGCCAGATGTACTGTCTGTGAGCTCTCAGAATCACAACGAGGCCAGATTATGACGTCATCAATCTCCCTTGTAAGGATGGCTACACCCTTCCAAAAAGGCATGTATCATCATTTATCTATAAATCTGGATGCTTTGTAGTCGTGGCCTAGCATGACACTTCTTCTGCCAGCTGCGCCTAAGCTGGAGATTTTAAGAAAGGTGACTCATGACTTCTCAAAATAGGATGCTTCTTACCAATCTTAACCGCCTGATCCCACCAAACGCATCGGACCCCACTCCACTCCACACCAGCTTCTACTTCCACCAGAAAAGCGACAAGGCTTTCTTGAAGAGGCCCAAGTTGTCATCCTGGGTTTTCACAACTCAATTGGCGGCAACGAGCAGGTTCAGAGGATTCGTCTCGATCGTCAATCTGTCTGAATGTTGCTGTAGGCTCAAAGGATGGCCGCAGCACGCACCAATCTGGTACGCCACTGCCAATGGTCGGAGATGATACATGTTGATACTATCTGTTCCAAGAGCTTCCCAAGTCTTCCACAGGCGCACCACTCTCTCATGAAATGATAGTATGCATCGCCTGCATCGCCTTGTTTGTTTTCGCCGGCTTCTTCTTGGATACCTGACGCTGTTGAGGATCTTCACAGTCTCGCCAATCGCGATCAGTTCCTGTCAGCAGGTTGCACTTCATCAGGTTCAGCAGTGATGAATCATCCAGCAAATCCTCAAATTCATGCTCTCCTTGAGCTGCATCAGGGAACTGGAAAAATGATCTTTAACTCCACCAATCATGCGCTAAAGCATTTGAAGAACGTTCCGTGCCGTGGACGTTCCGTGACACGCCCAACGCACGCCCAACACGCCCTGCCCTCCGCGCCTCGCCACGGCTCTTCTCGCGAAAGCTCCACTCCTTGGTCTTCGCCTCACAGGTCTCGGAGAGCTTCTTCCTCGCTTTCGGGCGCACGAGTGAAGGCGCAGACTGACCCGCAGTCGACTTCTTCGCAAAGCAATGACCGGCGTTGATTGTTGATTGTGTCAAAGGAGTCTGGATGCAAACATGTCCGACCAAACACCAAAATTGTGCTTCTGGTATGGGTGTCAGGCCACCTGGGAAATCTTTGAGAACCTGGCAGGACGTCGAAGTCCTTGGACAAGGCATTCTGGGCGTCCTGAAGCAGCACGGTGGTTGACTCCGGCAGCTCTAAACAATGATTGAGGTTGCTGTTGAACTGCTGTTGTCTCTGGACTTAAAAATAAATGACACACTGGGTCGATCTTCGCGCTGTGTGGCTGACGGTTGAAGTGATGATGCAATGACTGCCATGAATCTGAGCACCGGCTAACTACTTAACTCAGACTAACTCAGGTGCCTGTAAAAACACACACCTGTAAAGAATAACAGCATATACAGTCGTCATAGACAGTATCTGGACTCAGAGGCCAAGATTCTGGTTGGATGACTCATAAACTTGCATCTATCTGTCAAGGCGAGTTGTTCAACGCATGTTGTTTGACGGCTGTCCTTGAGCTCACCCTTCTTCTCCACCAAGGACACCTTGCACGGATTTTGGAGCGCCACCTCTAAAACTGGCGAGTGAGACTCCACAAGTAGCTTCGCACAGCAGGGAGGGATCTTCTCAGGTGAGGAGAGCACACTTGGGCCAAGAGAATGCTCTACCTTGGTATGCTTCTCTACCGGTGCCGCTTGACTCGAAAGCCGCCGCCGTCACCTTCAGGGCTCCAAGTCGATCGATCTTCTGGGCCAAGGTCTCCTGGGTTGGCCAAGGCAGTTACAGTAGGCACATCAAGTCAAGCTTGTCTTGCTTCATTTTGGTTTCATGCTACAAGACAGAAGACTAAGAAACACAGCAAACGAGCTGGGAAACATGCGGGAGGAACACGACAACTTGCACGGATGCCGCAGCTAAAAGCACAAGACGAAGCAATGAATTGCTCCTCAATGGTCTCTTTCTCCTCTGTCTTTGCATTCATGAGTTCCTGCCAAGACTTCGATGGCCAACTCACGAGAAAGCCCGCGCCAAACCCATTTTGTCTTGTGGACACTCTCAAACACAAGTGTCGCAAAGCTGATTGAGTCACCACTTTACTGCAAACCCATCTACCCAGGCCTCGAAGATGTTGACCTCCTTCTCTTCCTCCTTATCATCCACGACCACCTGGCCAGGTTTGTGCTGACACTTTCGAGTGAGAATTGACAAGTTACCATTTTGCAAACGGTTTTTGCTTTTCTTGTTCATCTGTTGGATTATCTGCTCTTGCATCACTGGAAAAATCCATGAGCCATACATGTGCCCAGGCCTAGGCCCCTTAGTGTGTGCTGAAACAAACAAAATCCAAAACGAAGGTTCCACAAGCGTTGCATCTCTTCAAGCTACTCGATGTGCGGTCGGCTCACCTCCTTTTGAAGGTCCTCCTTTTGCCTGGGTCATGTGAAGGAGCGACCAACAGCTTCTGCAGATAACTCGATGAACCCTTAGGCCCCTGGGGGGTACCGCCATGCTACACGCTCCACGCTCGACTCACATCACATTCAATCCTTTTGCAATCGGCTCAACCCCCATTTCCAAGCCAAGCAACACTTCCAGCATTCCCTTGATTTCACCAATGCCCTGCCGCCCACTTCGCCCCACGACAACAGCTGCAAGAATGGGAACGGGCCCCATGACAACAGCTTAAAGATGCGTTACTGTCCACATAAACACGTGAATCAAACCAGTCACTCCTGAATGTCATTCCTTCTTGTTCTGTCCAAGGTTCCCGTGAACCGCGAGACCTGGACCTGGATTTATGAGCTTCGTTTGAAAGAGCTGGTGTCTGGGCTCATGGTGCTCTTATGGAAACTACCAGGCGCGGCTGTTTCATGATTTTTACATGTTGTTTATCCATTTCACTTGCGGATTTCTCCATCTTCGGCCACAGATGTCCTCCGTCTTGCCAGTCGCCAAGAAGGAGGCCATGGCCTGGCGCTCACTCTCAGTGGCCTCGGCAAAGGGGCTCTGGGCAAGATCTCCTAGTTGGGGGTCCCTCTAGTTTTTGGCCATAGAATACCTGGTACCTCTTCTGCGCGCCCGGTCTGAGACCCTGAGACGATCGCGGTGCGCGATGGACTTTATAGAAATTCTGAAGGCGTCAAAAGAATATGCCGACATAGGGCCCACAGTTTCATCTTTTTGCGTCAACTCCAACAATTCCTGTGTTGGTGGTAACGTCGGCAATCTTTAATATTGCTATAGCCTCCGGCTGTTTGGGAACGGCATGTAAAACAATGAAAGCAATAGTTCCTGGTTTGCGGGTCACATGTGCAAAACGAGGGGGTATGTGTCATGTGGCCAGAGGCCACCGGGCGGACAAGAGTCGCAAGCATGGAGCAGGAGGACTCCAAGAGGACAACAGGAGGACACAGGGTTCGGCAGCGCGGCCCGACTTCGCTCAGAATCCGGACGCTCTTGCTCTTGGAGACCACCTGCTGGAGCCGATCCACCTGGAGACCGGCAGAACCGAGCGCACCCAGCGGATTCTTCGGACGATTGGGACGGTGCCGAGGTGAAGATGGTTGGGAGGTGGTCCCTAGGCAGCCAGAACAGTTCGAAAACACGCCAGTACTAGGTCTGTGAAGGGCGAACTTGACCAAACATCAGGAGCGTATAAATCGTCAAGACAGGACCAAACACTTTTGACCAAAGGGCCCAATCCAGTCAGAGTGGCAGGCGATTCAAGGCGCGCCTGCTTCTTCGAGAGACCCAGGCGCCGGGCGTCGCTGCCCGTCTGCACGAAGGCGCCAGCCGTCGCCTGAAGTTTGAGGGCTGACAAACGTGTCTGTGAGACTGCGAGTGTCGATGCGACCAAGCTGCCGCAACTGCACGGCCCAAAACCGAGCTTTCACACGCTCTCCGTCTCCCCCAGAGCGCCTCTTCCAGCACAGGGAGCGCCTCACTGATGGCTCCGATGTCGGCCTGAGAGGGGGACCCAATCGCAAAAAGCGCTGGCCCTGGTTCACCCCTACGTGATCGGAGGATGTTGGCCCAACCACTGATGGATTGTGGGCTTCGATCAACCTTCCATTGCAAAAATTGATCCAAACCAATAGTTGGGACATGGATTTCTTTGGAGGGAATAATGGAATACCTACCATGCCATAGGTGGGCCAGCAAACACAGGGTTCATGGAGAAGCACGAGACTCGTTGTGGTTACCATACGGACGGGGAAACACGTCGTTCTCATTTGTCACACATGTTTCATCACCCTTGCGTTTGACGCATGTTTCAACCCCCTTTTTGGTGAGATCTTCAAACCAATGGAGCAGCTCATGGTGAAAACGCAATCGCAGCGCCTTGAGCACCGTCACATCGTCCACATAGACATCGTGCTCCTGCTCTACTACTAGTACCCGCCGGGTTTAGGGGTACACCACACTGCTCGTGCCCCCTACAGGATATAGAATGCCTTCGCCTTTGCACATCCATGTAGCTTGAAGCACACACGTGAAGCGGAAAGGCCAAGGAGGTCTGGAGTCTAGGTCTTGTGCCATGGGGCCGTTGAACCTAGACATACCTAAACCCATGTTGCAAACATTCCTCGCAGACGGTCCTTCTCGCGCTCCACGCTGGCCCGCTGCATGGAATCCTTGGTGGCCACCTCATCGGCCCTCTTGGCCTGCGATGGTAGACCAACCAGGCAAAGGTGGGAGTTAAGGAAAGTAGCAAGGCAATCGCCTGGATTCAGAATTGGTGGATCGCATATGAAACTAAACCGTAACTAACCCTGAGAGTGGTGCTCTTTCGGACGCTGTACCCTGGAAGCAAGTCTCTCAGCAATGTCCCGTTTGAACCGGTCTTCGGGAACCCTTTTCCAATCCCTGACTCCTTGCGATCGTGGCCTCAATCTCTTGCGTGAGCTGGCTGATTTGCGCTTCTGTCTGGGCGGAAGTTGGGATCTTGGCAAGGCAACCTTCAAAACATAATGGCAGTGGGGAAACTCAAAAAGAGAGTGTGTCCCCTAGCCTGTTCCCTCACCAGTTCAGGACTTGGACTTGGCAGGTGATCAGCAAATCTGCCCGGCGCGCACCTATCCAACTTCCCGGTGCTACCCTGTGCCTCAAGAAGTCCACCGGGTCAAACCCCTCTCAGCGCAGCTGGCGCCCCCCCTTCCCCGCGCCGCTTCCCGACACGACCGCGATGAGCTTTTCGGCCCAAACCAAGGCGCTGCTGAGATGTCGGACTCCAGCTTCGGGACTGCCTCGGGACGACGACCACGAGGACGACGGGCATGTCATGTCGAGGAAGGGCCTGGAAAGACCATTGGCCTGACGAGGGAGGGCCCTCCGTCCATTTTCAGGGTGCTTCTTTGGCTTCACTCTCCAGTCCCACGAACAGTGCCAAGGAAGGCCTCAACTGGCTGTGCAGCGGCAAATTCTGCTTTGGGATTGTAGAGATGCGTGGAGTGGGTGCAAAATCTGGATGACCTCACACCATCCAAGGGCCCACATGTTTCTCCCAATTTGGGGGATCCATCTTGGAAGGATCAATCCACACGAATCCCCAGTTGAAATCCCCATGTGTATGAAAAAACAGTCTTGTGGAGTCTTGTGCACATCTCTTTATGTCAGCAAAGAGAGGTCGCGGCTTTCAAAGATCTCTGCAGGATAAAGAAGCTACTAGGAACAAGAAGCTACTAGCGGCTCCTGGCATCGCTACTAGGAGCAAGGTTGCTACTAGGGGCTCCTGGCCTTACTACTAGGAACAAGAAGCTACTAGGGGCTCGGCTCCGAGGTGCTGCACCAAACCCTCTGGGCCACCCAACAGCTTCGAAGGCAGCCTTGCCCTGGACGGGGAGTAGATACGAACAGAATAAAAAGAACATGTAAACAAGGAACAAAGGCTCCCTCTTTAAGATCAACGTTGCACGAATATTTATGACTCTTCTGACTCTGCAACGTCCTGAGCAGTCTTTGGGACTCACTTATCATCAATAAAACTCACCATGTATAGAAAACATGATCACGCTGCAAGAATCCTAGAAATCTTTGGACGATCGAGCTGCTTCCGCAAATTGGCTTCACTCCTGGCCTTGTTGAAGTCAGCTAATTCGGATTTGCAGTGACACATGAACTTGTCCTCGGAGCACGTCGAAGGGGGGCGACGAATGAAACAGCCAGCCTTACGCGAGAACCTCTTCAACTCGCTGGGGGAACTCGCTGGGGGACCTCTTCAAATCACTCCTTGGTGTTCTACTGCTCAAACATGATGGAAAAAAGAAAGGAATCACTTCAGCAACAACAAAAGAGAACCACCCCAAAAGGACCTCCTTTGCATCTAATATCAAAAGGCTGCGGTACCCGGCAAGCCCGTTTTCGAAACAGGCTCAACTAGTCCAAGAGGCATACAGGTCTTTCTCTGTTTCACCTTCTTCCTCGATCTTTTCTGACCTCAGCACAAACAAGACGATGAAGCTGGTGAACAAGGAAAAAGTAATCCATTCACAGTCATCTAATGTAAATGCTTTGCTCATCCAAGCTATATAATTACCTGAAAAACTATAAACTTGCACTGAGTTTCAGGTCACTTTCTTATTTAACTTTGTGTGGTGGCTGCTTGCAAGCTGCATCTTCTGCATCATAGTCACCACTTTCCTGCGTTTGAGAAGGTCCGCCAATCAGGCAACTCTTTGAGGTCTGGAAGTTTTCGAGCGTCCAACTCCAGTGGACTTCCATCTCACTCTGTTACGCCAAGACATGTCTCTTTTTATCTTTCATGAAAATGGACAAAGCAACTGCTTCCAATGATGATTTTGTCTGTGGAGTTGCTACATTGACATCTTCGTTCTCAAGACTTAAGAGAAACATGACTTCACCATGGCACCTCCAACAGCCCCACGGCCCAGCGCTGCGCCAAAGCGAGTCAACAAGTCCGGCTCCCCTGGTTCCTGATGGGGTTCGCCCCCACGGTTCCGGCGGAACTCTCCGCCGATCCGACGGCCGAGAACAGGCCCAGCACCTCGGGGAAAGGATGATTCGTAGAAACAGCCCAGCACCATAGGGAAAGAAGTCATTAGAAACCATCAAGTGGAACAAAGCATAACTGTTCAATCAAGAAACGATCCAAAGGGTCAAACCCAATCAAGATGCCAACAAACGCAATCAAGAAAACGTAAAAACCTGTTTTGATCAGGCAGGTGATTGATTCCTATCGTATCTTGGCCCCGCCAAACGCAAGAATGTATATAAGTCAAATCTGCATGACGTGTGCAAAATTGGAGATTATTACAAACCGATGGTTGATTCTGCATGCCAAGTTTTGGCCGTCTGAGCGCGAAACAACCGCAAAGAGCATCATGGCAATTGTCCCGGCCTTGGCAAAAGATTTCGACAACTTGGATCATTGGCAACAAGACTGCGTCTCTGCCAGCCCGCTATGGATGCACCAATTGGACCAACTTTTGCGGGCCACCGGCTGGTGTGCACTGCGACTCTTTCCACATGGATTGAAAACATGTTCCACATCATGTTTTGTTTCCACCCTAGCATCAAGTTACTCGGCAAAGAGTGATTTGATCCCTTGTTTGTTGCCCATTTCACCGCAAGGCTTGAAAGTGTTGTTGAAACTTAGTTACCTTAGTTTCAATCCAGTACTCACACCAAAACGTTACATCGAGAGAATGCCACCGAGCGACTCACACTTCGTTGGTGTCAGGGCCTTTCTCACATGGAAAGGCTTGTTCACAAAACCCCGAGCCAAAAGCATGAAAGGCGGCTCTGCACTCATCAACACAAAATGGTTTGGCAATTTTGAACCGACTAATACTCACGACAGCAACCAAGCACCAAACGTGGTGCTGGTTCGACCAACCACCAACCCGCCATGGGGATGATGTTACTTTGGTCATCAGGCATCAAGGTGTCAGGTGGCTGAAACAACCTGTCAGAAAACAACAAAGGGCATAGATGTCGGACCAGAAACCAATGCACATTCTTTGCATCAGCCTCCTTGCTGTACGCGCCAAGGAAAAAGGAATGCCTCGCTCCAATTTTTCGGCCATTCAAGAGGACCATATCAATGCCCATAAGGATGGCGGCTCCAAACCTCCCAAGTACACACCGTCAAAATCCCCAGTGTGGACGCCTTTTGCACTGGCAGTTTCGCACGTGGAATTGGATGGGAATGGTCAATTTAAAAGGCATCCTGAAGATGGTTCCGTGTTTTGGGTTGCTGGAAATCAGAGACTCAAAAAACAAACAACAATTGGTGTGCGCAACGGCTTACCAATTGTTTCTATTTTTATGTCCGTTGCACTTACTGCGTTTGTCCATCACGGACGATTGTCCAACCATAATCGGCAGTTTGCGGTGGCAATTGCCTGGCGCGGTCCATTCAGACCAATCACACCTTACTAATGCTTTGGTTACACAAACAGAATGCAAACAGCAAACTGCAACTTGAGAAGAAGGATACACGAAAGGTCGGACAGCAGGAGGAGAATAGAAACATGAAAAATATGCAGCGTGGTGTTGGTGGAGTCGAATCAAACGTCAACTTAAGAGTGGGGGAAAAGACCAGACTTTGAGATATCTATCTATATACCCAAAGCTTCCAACTACGTTGATAACCCTAGGATCTGACAAGATACGAAGTATACTCTAGGAGTTCACAACTACATTCAAAAACCAGCAACTACGTAATGCATCATCTCAATCACCTCAAGTAAACTTAGTAGCGAAATAGGCGCGCTACTTACCCTGGTTAAATTTAGTACGCATTCGCGCCGGAGTTTACTTTTGTAGTTGAAGATGAAGGTACATATTTACAATTATATGATAATCCTCAACGACAAGAAGCACCAAAAACAAAATGTCATGTCTCTTCATGGACTCAAACATTGCCCCAAGCTTAGTGCTCAACACCAAATAACCATTGAGGTGTTGGGGATGAAGCGGTCAGGGGGGAGGGGGTTGTATTGAAAAATCAAGTCCAAAATGGGGGGAGAGATGGACTGTTAGGAACTATGCGACAAAGCCCTTTCAAACACAACAGCAACACGACCAGAACAACAACAACAACAAAATGAACACCACCAACAACAACAACAACAACCACCACCACCACCAACAACAACAACAACAACCACCACCACCAACAACAACAACAACAACAACTTCTTTCTTCTCACGCACTCGAAGGGAGTAGCGCCGCCCATCAGTCAGCATTGTGACTGGACTCCATGTAGGAGTTCGTTTGTGGTTGGAGAGGAGCAATCTGCTTCTATGGCAGCAAATCACCAAATCAAAATAAAATCGTCCAAAGGCAAACATCGTCTCAGACCCAAAATCAATCCAGGGGAAGAAGGTTCAAATCTCAAGTGCACATGAACGACACTCTTTTCGGGTGTGCCGGACAGCTACCCTCCCTCAGAGCGAAGCTCAGCGGCCGCTACGTCAGCATCCGCCACAGACGGCCGCCATCCACAGCGGCCAGCGCAGCGGCGGTCAGCGGCTCGCTTCCGACACGTCGAACCCGGTGTCCGCAAGGACTTGGTCGATGGTCCGGTCCGCGTCTTGCAGGCGCAGGAGCAATGAATTTAAAGCCAAGTTGCTAGAAGGATCCGATCCTCCAGAGTCATTGGAGGTCATGCGATGGTCTTTCCAAGGTGCTTCGCTCAGCTCACGGTTTCCAGCCAAGGCACGATTGGGCGCATCATCAAACAGGGGCAGTCCTGGTGTGAAGCCGGACAGCTGTCCTGAGTCGTCCAGCGGCATAGATGCGTCCTGGGTGAGACAGGATGGATCTGCAAGCTTCCAAGTGTCCAGCGGCTCTAAATCCTGTGAGCAGGCCACAGGAAAGGAAGGTGGCGACCTCACATCAGCATTGCCTAGCGGTCCCAAATTGGTCTGACCCCGATCAGACATCTCCAGCGTGAGATCTTCCTCATCCGAGTCCCCATAAGGCATGAGTTGGCCCAGAAAAGAACTCCACGTGTTCGGAAAACCTCCGGGATGGAACTCACCTGAAATGGTGCCTGGTTGTCGTCACATAGCACGAACCGTCCATTCTGGTCCCTGAGCAAGGCTTGAAAATGACCTGTCAAGGAATCGCCCAGGTGTGCAACTTGTGCAGTGACACGATATGGAACCCACTTCAATTCCAGTCCTTCATTCACGAAGAAGGGCAGGTAGAAGTCCTCTTCAAACTGCACGTCGTTGAAATGACCTAACAGGCGAGCGCTGTCAATCAAACGGTCGAGGAAGAAGACTTTAGGGCCGGTGGGTCCCGTGAAGGCCGTCACCATGGAGTGACAGTGCAACCAGGGTGACAGAAGTTCTGCAAGGGACACCTTTTCTCGATCCAGCTCATAGAGGTGCACTAAGGCCACCGGTTGGGATTCACTCCCGGCTTCAAAACAAGTGATGCCATCCTTGGTCTCAAGGCGGCGTTCCCATGCTTGTGAGGTCTGTGCGGATAAAAGGATTTCACTTGTGAACTCACCAATGTCCCTCTGTTCCCCTGAGGGCTTGCCCAGAAAAAGGTCAGCGAGCTGCGGCAAGCTGAACAAAGCTGTTGGCTCATCTGTCTTCACAGATGCAAGCATCCCCTGTACAGCATTCCATGCTGCACTTGAAGTGTACTCATCAAAATGGGCGGAGTGCACAAGGGTCCAGATCATGGAGATCAAGCCGGCATTGAGATAGCACCAATTGGCATTGCAGGATCCGGATGGTGTCAATCCAGTGGAGCTTCAGCGCCTGTCCCCTCGTGGTCGAAGGATCTGCTGAAGGTCCTGAGCCAGCTGCAACGTTGGGGTCCATGTTGGCGCATCCTGGCACCCACCAGATTCCACAGGGACGAGCCTGCCAGCAGCTTGAGAAGGCTTGCTAAGGAGTCGTTCCTCAGGGAGATCTGGAGTCTCCATGGGATGACTTCCCCGCTGCTGTTTTGAGCCGCTATGGCGAAGAATCTGATGCAATTGCCCGGTTCCTGAAAAACTTGCTGAAGAAGGCCGAGGTGGGACTCCATGGTGTTCCAGGCGATTGGAGCGGTCTGCATAATCTCCAGGCTTTGATGTTTGGAGCTCCAGGTCAGGTGTGGGAAGCTGTGATCCTCCATGACCGTCTTGCTTTGGATGGCAGCCTTCTTGGTGGAGTCGTCCTGCAACTGTGTCTTGAGCTTCTGAAAGCGAGTGACCAGTTCGGCAACGACGGCTTGAATGAGAAAGCTGCGTAGAGGCATCATCGCTTGGTCTTGAGGAAGGTTGCGCCATTGTCCTGCGGATCTCATGAGAAGAGGAAGGACCCCCGCATCTTTTAAACAAATTCTGCTAAGACAATTCATATAATTTCAATTACCAAACAGTATGTTCTTCTTATGTACTCATATATATAACACTTGAAGTCTTCGACGGTCGGTTTATAATTCAGCTTCTCTTTTTCTCTCTTCAATTAATTTGGAAGTCGACCAGAGGTCAAGGGGCATCGAAGATAGCTGCTCTGGAAGTCAGGCCACAATACATGTGGGTACAAAGAAGCAATGCCACCAGAGTGTGGACACAATGCGTCATTGACGCGGCCATGACTCCGTGAGAACAATGCAGCACATCACCCCGGCGGTGCGGAGAAGGGTTGGGCGGGAGGGAAACAATCGAACGCACCCACCGGCCCACCTCAAACTGCGGGGTACATATCGGATGTGTGAAGCACAACTGATCGGACATCGAAAGTGAGACATCTTTGAGTTCCTTTGGAATCCTTTCTTAAGACATCGATTTGCGCAATGCGCAATTTGTTTAAACACAGCAATGTGCACAATGGCCTTAACAAGAGGGCAAGTTTCGTTTTAACTTTTGCCACAAAAGTATATAAACAATCGGAGACTTCCCTGAAATCTAAAGACCTCACACAATCGGAAATCTAGAGACGACACACGAACAATCGAAGAGACCCTCACCACAATCTAGAGATCCCAACAGAAGAAGGAACAAAGCAGAACGCGTACGCTGTTTGTTCAAAAAGATTGCGCTCTCAACTTGGTTGAACGCTTACATCTTTTAAACAAATTCTGCTAAGACAATTCATATAATTTCAATTACCAAACAGTATGTTCTTCTTATGTACTCATATATATAACACTTGAAGTCTTCGACGGTCGGCTTATAATTCAGCTTCTCTTTTTCTCTCTTCAATTAATTTGGAAGTCGACCAGAGGTCAAGGGGCATCGAAGATAGCTGCTCTGGAAGTCAGGCCACAATACATGTGGATACAAAGAAGCAATGCCACCAGAGTGTGGACACAATGCGTCATTGACGCGGCCATGACTCCGTGAGAACAATGCAGCACATCACCCCATTTTTCATCGACTAACGATCTGCTCCATGAAGTCAATGAAAGAGGCTGCATCGACGCACACCTTGACCAAGTCTTCTCCCAAGGACAATTTGGGGCCAACAATCCCTTTGATTAACCTGGCCGCTTGCTCAGGCAACTGTCGAGAAGGGAGATCAGCAATGTTGCTCTTAGAAGGCACGCGTGAGTACCAAATCATGGCCTGCACTATATGGGTGAGCCGACCTACTTCTACCAACATGGTGAAAAGCTGGGTGGCCGGCGAAGAGCCTTTGGCCAACATGTCTCGAACAGAGTTGTTGTCCACAAACCACAAGACCCTCCTACCTCGAACAGCATCGGCATAGTGGGAGAGACCCGCAAGCACTGGCAGCAGTTCAAGTTCAGCTATGATCTGTGTCTTTCCCATGCTTAACCATCTAGTTATAAGCCGGGGGTCAACATCGACCTCATTCACAATCCTAGTTCCAAGGACGGGGTCTACGAAAACAATTCCAGCTCCTGCCTTAACGGAGTTTTCAGGCAAGCTCCGTCGGAGAAAACCAGGATGGGCCTCTGTTCATCTTGCAAGGAAAGCGACCTAGGGGGAGAGTTTTTTAAGGCATACACCAAGTACGTGGCGGCGATGGCCCATAGCTTGGGTTGTTCTTAAGGCTCGTTTCCCTGCCCCAGTCAAGGGCTGAGTATTCACCTTTGTTCTACTCCTATCTTTCTCTTGCCCTCTTAGCGCTGCTTTTTAGGTGTCTATTCAGGTTCACCGCGCGAGCACCGCAAAACGTGTGTGTGTGTGTGTCAACCCCTGTCCCTAAAGGTTCTGATATTTCCAAGCAGGGCACAGGCCCATCGTGGATACCTGCGCCAACGAAGCTGTTCCACGATGGGGGATGCGGAGATTGATCACCTCCGTGTGCCTGCTGCACTGTTTTCAAGCTGTCACTCCTCTTCCTCGCTTTGTTTCATGGTGGTTTTCACGACACGACCCAAAACATTTCAATTAGCCGCTTTCAGCTGCAGCGCGCTGACCGCTTGTGAGTGCCTTTCAACATGATGTTCAACAATACAGTTTTGCGGACTCATGCACCTTTCCGTTGCCTCACCTTCCTTCTCAACGTGGGAAGTGAGTTGACAGCAAACCAATGTTAGAGTGCGTGCATGCATATACCATATAACTCCAAACGCAAGCATTCTTCACTCCATGCGCGCAAATCCCACGCAAAAGAGTTTCAATTTGGGGGACAAAAACTTTTTAGAGGATCACAAGATATTGTCAGCACTAACCAGACATGGAGAGCAGTGACAGACGCGAACGTGCTTTATACACAGGAAAAGCACAATGAACGCAGCTGTCAAAGAAACACTAAAGTATGTTCCGGCTCCAGAGGCGAAACACCCTTGAAACCCACAGTTCACACACGCGCAAAGACTGAGACCGAGACACAACCGCGACAGCGGACACGACCAAAATATCACCGAACTGCGGGCCTCCAGTTTTCAGGCGGCACCTCGTTTATGTTTTCGTGGTGTTCTTTTTTTGCACGGGTCGAGGCGCTATGTGTGCAGAAGATGCACAAGTCACCTTAGTCTGGTAAAAGAGAGAGATACGACCCCAGCAGCGACACCGGAACAAAGAACCCAAAAGCAAAAACAAACACCACAAGCCAACGCAACCAAAAAGGGAGCAAGGTTCGTTCCTCTGGAAGGCTGCGTAAGCCAATGCAAAATGGTGAGACGCAGTGAGACGGTCAATGAATTCATCCTTCGCGCTCAGCACTTGGTCAGGTTTGCAGGTTTTGGAATTTCCTCAGAGGGAGCAGTGAGATGGGAGCATCTCTGTATTCAGGAGAGAAAGGTGCGCACTGCCTGCGAGAAAGTTCAAAAAGGCACCTCAAGGTATTCCAAAATTTCCTGTGGTTGCAGCTTTGCAGACGTGTTGCCAAGGCTCAGAGGTGGCTTACTCGCCCAGTGCACAATTTGGCTGACAATGGATGACAATGAGTGCACGATGCAATGCAAAGGCCAAGGCAGCCAGAGGTCAAACTATCTCACTGCCATCAAAATCTTGAGGAAGGCGAAGGAAGCGAAAGAAAGGGAAGGAGTTTGTGTTTTCGTGGTGTTCGTTTTTGCGCATGGGCGGTCATTTTTTTCTGTGGTGTTTTTGTGATGGCGTTGCTTTGCTGTTTTTTGTCGCGTATCGTCCAAAAAACGCTGTTTGGGAACAGTCACCACCAGCACTCCTGCATGCAAAGTTGCAACCCGAAGATCAAAAAAGGAACAAAGCTGGTTGAACACACGTCAATCAAAAATCGTGAACTTGTTTGCCGATTATTTTGTTGGCAATGAACTGTCGACTTGAACCAATTCACGCCGCTGACGCGTTGCAAAACAAAGCTGACCTTCGTTCTCCTGGACCACACACATTGAAGAACCTTGCGCCTTTTTGGTTGGTTTGTTTTGTTTGGGTTGGTTGTGGTTTTTTGGGTTCTTGTTCCGGTGTCGCTGCTTGGTTCGTATCTCGCGCACGGCCGAGCGTTGCACGTTCAAAAAAAACCTGCATGTCCAAAGACTGTGCTCCACTCAAAGCATTTGAGCTCACTGAGCAGATGCCACTTACAGGTTTTCTATGCCATGCGCTGATGGCTTGAAAGCGTTGCCTCTGCTTTGGCAGAAGACCTCCTGTACATAGCTGCTCCGAGAAAACAAATTGACGAGAAGAAGAAGACAGGGAGACCAGGAGAAGGTCGAGGTGACCCAAGAAGAGGTGTGAAAAGTGTGGGTAGCACGCCTGTACAGTGTGTGGATCAACTGCTCTGTGTTGGGAACTCTTCGTTTTCTGTCCTTGGGGTTGGAGCTGAGCGTCTTCCTCCTTGGAGTGCGTTCTCTTTGCCTCCTTTGTGGAATGTGACCAGAAGTAGCTTGGAGCATGTCTAGAGAAGCCCTGAGCATGGAGCTGTGGATGAGCTGTGCACAGCCTAGCTTTGCTTGAGAGTGTTTGGAGATGCTTTCTTGCACTTTGAGTGTGTTTTGGACGACTGTGACCAGGGCCACCCCGGTCCCGGTTCCATCTTAGCGTCAACGTTCAAATTTTACCGCTCGGACATTACAATGCGCGGGCACCGCTCAGGCCTCCATTGCACGGGTCGAGGCGCTATGTGCGCAGAGGATGCACAAGTCACCTTGGGTAGGGGGATGGGGTCCCCGATATCTAGCCTCAAAGAGGGAGCGTGGACTCGCGAGGGTCCCATGGTTGGTGGGGAGGACTGTGGCTGGTGCTGTAAGATTGTCCTTTGATCCACCGACCTGGAACCATGAATGGACATGGTTACGTCACACTCCCTAGCCGGCCAGTTGACGCTGTCCTTGGTGACTTGGATGCGTCAACTGGTGCTGCGTGGTCGACGGGCCACAGCGCCATCCACTCCTTGGGACACGGGCCCTTGCGGTTGTTCCTTTGGATGGTCAGGCAAGTTGGGTGAACCCCTGCGTGGAGACTCTTCCGGCGTTCTCCTGGAGTCTCTGCTAAGGGGGGTCAGGTACACTTCATTGATTGGTTGTTGACTTGGTGGTGTGGTTGGAAATGAATGGTTTGGATGATCGGTTCCTTCTCTTCTGGGGTTGGTTCCGTGACTCCTCTCCACGTCCTCCTCATCACCGCCCAGGGAAATGAATGGTCTGGATGATCTTCACCTTTCTTTTTCGAGATTGGTGTAGTAATTCCCTTCCATGTCCCTGAGGGTCGACTTCTGGTCCTTGTTGTGTCCTGGCTAACGGTCAAAGTTCGTGTGAGGGCAGCCAAGCTCCACACGGATCAGACCGTCGGTTCCTCCGTGACGAATGCCAGTCTTCCAGTAGTCACGGTGTCGGGGGTAACCTGGACCTCCACCTGTCTCTTCCCATTCCTTCGAGTTTGGGGGTCATAGGTGGGCCAGTTCCCTGTCCCAAGTTCCCCAGTTCCCTGTCCCAAGCTCCCTGTCCCCAGTTTCCTGTCCCCAGTTCCCTGTCCCAAGTTCCCTCTCCCCAGTTCTCTGTCCCAAGTTTCCTGTGCCCAGCTTGCTGTCCCCAGTTCCCTTTCCCCCAGTTGCCCCCCTCCAGTTCCCTGCCGAGAGTTTCTTGCCCCCAGTTCCTGTCTCCAGCTCCCTGGCTCCCAGTTCCCTCTCCGCAGGTCCCTGTTCCCAAACCACATCTCTTCAGTTCCTTTCAACCAATTCCCGCAGAGGGACCACACCCCGAAAGGGGAAGGTTCTTTTTGAGGTCAAGAACCGAAATTCCTCATGTGGGAACCTGTGCGGCCCAGGTCGTGGCTTACCACTGCTTGTCGGTCCTTTGTGGAAGGGCCCAGGGTGCGCCCCAAGAAGGAGCCCAAAGGTACCAAGCGCAGACTGCCAACGCTACATACCACAAGAGTTAAAGCCTTCATGAACTGTGCTGCACTGCCAGAGCTTGCGACGCCGCCCTCACCACACTACATCGCCAGTAGGGCCTTTTTGGACTGCACCGCACTCCGAGGCTCGTCAAACTCCCGGGCCGTCACAAATGGAGAGAAACCTATGCAGAAGAAAATGCTTTGCTGTTTGCCCACCCATGCGATGGCCACCGTGGTTGCATATGATTCCTGACATTGCCTCGTGTCCGGCGAAGCGCAAGGCACACTTCTCAACTGTTCGAGTGTGAATTAGGTTTCGACAAGCAGAGAGAGTCGCCATTCTCGTCTTCGTCGCCTGCGATTTTGTGGGCCTACGGGGATGGGAGCCTCAGCTCTTGGTCCTTGGAAGGCGGTGGTAGCAGAACGGTGGATGATTGGCCCAGGTGAGAGCCTTAGTTGCTCGTCTGCGGGGGTACGGGCACCGCTCAGGCCTCCATTGCACGGGTCGAGGCGCCATGTGTGCAGAGCGAAAAAGATCGGGTAGCAACCTTACACTGTAGACTACCTACTTCCCCTCGATCTTTAGCTCACAACAGGCTCTCACACTCGTCCGGTACGGTACGAAACCTTTCCTTCAAACCTCCGAACACTTCGGAAAACTTCAAAGGCTGCACAAGCTGCTCTCAGACACTCGCACCCTTTTCTCACACTAGCCAAACGAATTGGCCTTGAGCAAAAACATATCCCGTAGCACTAAACTATACAAAGAACACACGAAGAACATATTAAAAGTCTCTTAAAGCATCTCCACATACAAAGAACTCTTTCAAAACTTCCGACTACGCTACAAGTCGCTTTCAAACAATCAAGAAACAAAATGTTATACTACCTCCAGGTTCCAAATCTTTCGCAAACAAACTTAAACGAAATTTATGCATCGCAAACTGCAAGCATCGAGCGAGGTGGACATCCCGACATGGAATTTCTTCACCCCCTCTTGGACACAAAGCTCGAAACGAACTGGCTGGCTTTAAGCCTTCTTATTCTTC